AGAGTGTAACTCAAGAATACTGGATTCTGGTTGAACCTAGGAGGAGGAGGATGCTCTTTTTTGCCACCTCTTCTGCCATCCCGCTGCATGCTTGTTTTCCTCTCCATCTGAATTTTAGTTCCTCTTTGGTCATGCTGTCCTGGCCTCATCTCTTCCAAGATGCTTATCTCTGGTAATTCCTTGCGCAATTGCACTGCAAAAAAGATTTTTATCCCCTTCGGCAATGCTGCTCAAGTGTCAGAGAAGGAAGAAGAAGGCAGTCAAAGGACAGTCATTGTTGTCTTAGTTTAGCAGCCGGGAAGAGCGATTGCAAGGAAAATCCTGCTCAGACCTAGATTTGGCAAGCACTCAGTTCAGAGGGAATACATGGAGGATTTGCCACACACTTAACCAGGTTCTTCTGTCAACAAAAATTACCTGGAGACTCCTGTTTCTCAGAAACTGCTGTGGAGAAGTTCTTGACACAAGGATGACATTCCTCCTGCTCCAAAATGTGGAGGTGCCTTAACTTCTCAGAAATTAAGATTGATCAAGATTTTTTTTAACAAGCACAAAAGAATGTATTTCTTCAATTATTGTGTTCAGAGAAACAAATGAACTATCTTAGCTGAATCATAACAAAAACAAGGGTCCGGCTGCAGAAGAAATCCAGAGTAGGAAATTTTGACTCCTAGTCGTTTGTTTTGGCAAAGTTTGCGAGTAATGTGATCCTATGGTAGTCTAAGAGTGGGTTGAAGCTTTTAGTGCTGCGCTGCCATGTCTGCTCACAGAATACCTAGTCTGGGAAAGCCTTATCCGTTAGGCACCTCATAATTCAAGATTTTTAAATTACTGACTTATGTAACTTTCAAGGGAGAGTCTGCTTTTTTGATTTTTTTCTTTCTTTTTTTTTAATTGTGTGTTCCATAGGTTGATGTCCTTAAGGCAACAGCTCTACCCCTACTGAAAAAATTTGGAATTGATGGTGAAAGTCTGGAAATCAAGGTAAAAAAATCTTATTTCTTTCTCTTCTGGCATAGTTTAAAAGATTCCTTGCCCTGTTTCACACTGGTCTATACACTTGCTCGCCTCCTGTCTCTAGCAGATATCTAATTGTAGCTGCATACATTTCTAAAATTGCCTCTTGTTTTTGGCCTCTTTTAAATGGCGTATCAGCCACATGCTGTTTAGGTTTAAGGTACGGCGTAGATGAGATGCAGAAGCTTTAGGTAGAGAAGATAAGGACAAATGTGTGTCACTCTTCTTAGTTTGTGGGAGATCTCAGAGACTGAGAGCTTCTTTCTTGTCCTTCCATTCCTTTTATTTTCCCTTTCTTGCTGCTTGTTCTTCCTGCCCCATGGTTAAGGCCAGGGAATAGCAGTAGGATCCTCACGAGTACAGCGGCTGGACCTGTGCTATACAGGTGGGTGAGGTTTGCTTCCGGTTTAGAGGGGTGCAGTAAAGAAACTTCTTCTCTGAAGACGGCACTTTTTGCAGGCCCAACAGACCTGGCTGTAGAAAAGACGTTTAGTCTGAGGAAAGAAACTGCTGTCTTTAAAAATTAATAAGAAAACAAGCAAAAAAAAACCCCTCCCAGGCTCTTGGGGCACTCCCAGCCCTTCCTTTCCTTGCCCTAGGCCCCCCACCC